TCTACTAAATTACTGAACTACTCTCGTACGTGGATTCCGTAAAGTCACATCCGAGATGGTCATTGCATTGGCACCCGTCGAGAGAGGGCAAACGGTTAAAAACGACGACACCCTCAGCATCCTAAGCAAGCATAATCGTCACCAGTCATCAATCATCATGACTATCAATAATCATAACCAACAATCATCATCGCCAATCACCATCACGATCATCAATTATCATAACCATGAATATTCATCATCTCTCACCAATCATCATGACCAATCACTGACCATCATTGTCGGCGGCAAAAAAAAAAAAAAACATCTTGTCATAAAAGACTGATCTTGTCATTTAATATCTGCTTCGTCGCTCGTGATTGGCATCATTTTTCCTTTCACGTCATGTCAGTCAATGTCGGATCATTACCGTCGCATCCAAGGATAATCGATGACGACACCATTAAATCCATCACGATAAATCCAGACCTCGACCAGGCATCTCTCTCTCTCTCTCTCTCTCTCTCTCTCTCTCTCTCTCTCTCTCTCTCTCTCTCTCTCTCTCNTCTCTCTCTCTCTCTCTCTCTCTCTCTCTCTCTCTCTCTCTCTCTCTCTCTCTCTCTCTCCCTCCCTCTCTCTCTCTCTCTCTCTCACACACACACAGAGAAGGAGATCAACTCGGAAATACAGACAGCGAGAAAATATCGCATTAATTCCAACTTTCCAGAAAGAAAAGAATATAATTTGGCGAAACCCTTAGAAAAGACCAAAAAACGAACCCTCAGAGAAAACGAAAGAAAAAAAAAACGCGGTGATGACTATGATGACGAATACGATGATATTTGAGGGGTAGGCAGATCAATCTCCAGAAAGGTATCCGTGAACCCCTTTATTAAAGGAAAACGTAAGAAAGTCCCATCAGGGAAACTATCTAAAACCCAAAAAGTCCCATCAGGGAAATTTTCTAAAACCCAAAGAGTCCCATCAGGACAAGACAAACCAGAGTCCGCCCAGCGATCTATGCACAGGTTACACCGTTCCCATCCATACATTCATCGTTTCCATTCATCGTCCACATTCATCGTTCCCATTAATCCATTCATCATCACGCCGGTCCGATTGATCGCACCAGAACATCAACGAATAAGAGAGAGAGAGAGAGAGAGAGGGGGGAATGGAGTGCAGAACGCGTCGACAATGAAAACAAAAGCAGAAATGGCGACTTGTAGAGAAGTGACCTTCAATTGTGACGAGCACGACGAGAGAGAAGGAGAGAGACAGAGAGAGAGAGAGAGAAAGGGGGCTGGGGGGGAGGGAGAAGGAGAGAGAGAGAGGGAGAGAGAGAGGAAGAGGGAGAGAAAGGGAGAGAGGGAGAGAAAGAGAGAGGGAGAGAAAGAGAGAGAGAGAGAGAGAGGGAGAGACATGAAAGCACCCGTCCTATGCGCCGAATGCGCTGAGAAAGTAATGAAATGCAGTAATCCCTGTAACAGACAGTAAAGGCGAATGATCGAACACAGAAAAGAAAAGAAAAGAAAAGAAAAGAAAAGAAAAGAAAAGAAAAGAGAAACTTTTGCAAGTCCAGTGCATGTACAACCAGTCACCTTTTCTTTCTTCTTCTTCGAGGAGAACGTCCGCTAAATCCAGATAATTATTGTACAAGCGCGTGCGCACAAGCAACAACAACACACTCCCTTCTATAAATATACGATTTTTTTCCTCATCCCAGCTGTACCCTCCGAGGGGAGAACGGCTTTCTATTCATCCTTTTACTTTTTTTGGTGGTTCAGATACATCGCATCTTTCATGTTTGCATCAACGGTCAACCGATTCGTTGGTTCAGATACATGGCATCTTTCATGTTCGCATCTCTTCCCTACATTTCTTCATCAAGTTGTTCCCACGCTCCCCCTCCTCCTTGCGTTTCTTCTTCGAGCATGCCACCTCTCTCTGGGCTATGCTTTTGCTTTTCCTTTTTCTTTTTCTTCTTATTCTTGTTCTTTCACTAATTATTATCACTACGACCAGTAGCAATAGAAATTAGTACTACTACACTTCTAGTAGACTACTACTACACTTCTCGTAGTACTACTACTACACTTCTAGTAGTAGTAGTAGTAGTAGTAGTAGTAGTAGAAATTAGTACTAGTAGCAGCATTTTTTTCAAGCTCTTAACTGCACTTGGACATCGAATACAGTGTGAAAAGTACAAGTGCATCGCATGCCGATCTCCTTTCCGTCAGTCAGCTATGCTCCCAAAAAAATCATCACGCGCAAATAGGCTGCAAATTGAGAGTGACTAGGTCTCGCACGGCTCGCTGCACTACCTCCAAATGCGTTAATGGCGGGTGTATATTCAGCTAGAAGGTAGCAAGATACACTCACAACATTTATGTCTTTTTCACATTCGGCGAGCGGTGTAGCGAGGCCCGCGAACTCCGAAAACTCTGCGCACACGTTTGCTATCGATGCAGGCGCTCGAACACAATGGCACCCATGGTCGCAATGCCCCTTTTTTTCATTGTCCCGCTCATTCAATTAACGGGGTTGCACGTGGCACGCACACTTCAAGTTCTCCACTACTTCTGTTTGCTTATAATCTCTCTCTCTCTCTCTCTCTCTCTCTCTCTCTCTCTCTCTCTCTCTCTCTCTCTCTCTCTCTCTCTCTCTCTCTCTCTCTCTCTCT